CAACTTTATTTGGGTCTACAAAAAATGAAATGTTGAGAGTTTACTGCTGTAAGAAATGCACAGAAGTACTTTTTATAAAYGTATCTTACTTATGTTCCTGAAATCCGGCCTCTCCACAGAAGGAGAGACAGACAGGGTTTTGTTGGTGGGACCCAACGCCCCGGCCACATAACGTTTACAACCTGTTAAGACACAAGCAATACAGTTAATGGTGAAATCCTTAACGGTGTGATTAAGTCTGACTGTAGTTATACTGTACACAATAAAACTAACCAGACTGTTTGGTGACATCATCAGCTGCTTTTCTCGCCAGCTCTGCTGATGTCCTGTTCAGGCGATAAGCCTACACAGCCATGACAAAAAGACACACTTTCATTCAACAGAACAACAATAAAATGGTTCAAATGAATAAAACTAATTTATTACCAACATAAAAAATAAACTTGACAGCAAATTCATTAAATCATTCTGGAATTTTTTTAAATATTCTTCAACAAACTTGCTAACAATGCAGATTAGTCTATAATATTTTGTCCTCTGTACTGTGGGGCTCAAATAAACCAGTCACTAGGGAGCACACACCAGCAGTGGTGGATAGTGCTAACCCAAAAATTAGCTCCGCAATTTCTAAAGCGCTTATAAAAATATTTAGGTCTGCAACTTCAAAACTGCATATGCCGTAGAAAAACTAGCGGAAGCTAATTTTAAAGCTCAAGTTCAATTTGACACTTACTAGCTAACAATTCATGTACAAAATATGTTGTTATGGATTAATTATGTATATCTGTTCTACCTTGACACTGTCCAGTAACCATATCTTCTTATAACCAGTTTTCGGCTGTTAATCTGTTTTGGCCCAGACAACAGGACTCCAGCGAGGGRTTGACCTCTCTTGTTTGATAAGGAACTCTTTGAGCTGAGAGCCCTGTGATTGGCTGGGCAGTACATTCGTCGACCTGTGATTGGTTGTAAACTGTCACGTGATGTTATCATGATGTTATATTATTGGCTTGCTGTCTGCTGATGACAGCCACAAGCCGACAGACTTCCTGATTGAGTTCTGTTTGTTTGTCGCTCAGAATTAAATCATAATTGACGACGATACATGCAGACTTTCTGTGCATTTATTCCAACATGTTTCTGCATTCTAGGTAAATCATCTCCACGATATATGTACAATACTGCCAACTAGTGGAGTATGAACTCTTTTATAACTTAATTCTACAACCACCGATTGCTGGGGATGTGATTTCCTGTAACAGAACTTTGGTTCCTGGTGTAAAAATTAAAACGTTGTTGAGGTTTGCTAGTTCGGCTGCTTCTTTAAAAAGTTGTTGAGGATTGCTTGTTCGGCTGCTTCTTTGTCTTTTTCTTTTGTTTGTTGTAGATTTTTCATTAAAGAAGCATCAATAAAGTCATTTTAAAACTGTTTATTGGAAAACTGAAGCGACGTATTCTGAGTACATGACAGACTGAAAGGAAACGAAAGCACAGAGAACAGGAAACTTGTATCTTCCCTTCAAAATAAGAGCTTGGATTTTAAGGTTTTCCAGTTCACCTGAAACTCATTAGACTGAAGAAGTCTCTTGGAGGAGAGATGAAATGTTTCACTAAAGAAGAACCATCCAAAGGACCTACTTGTTTTTTCTTTTAGATTTTTTTCTACCTGGATTAGGACGTTTTCCATGTAGTTGCTCTAGTTGACCACTAGATGTCAGTCTTCACCAGCATAACATCTTTAAATCATTTCTGCGTCTCTAACACCGTTGGCCGATTGCTTTTGAGCTCCAGCCTTTAAACTTTTTTTCTTTTAAAGGAGCACCAATAGTAAAGTAAAATAAATCAATACATAAAAATTTTAGTATGGATTACAAACGTTTACTGTTTTTGCTATTGCCTTCCTGCTACGTAAGCAGACACAAAGCATTGTGGGAAAACAGAGCCGTGGCCGAAAGCAACACTCAGCAAGGATGTATACCTTCACAATAAGAGTGTTTATCTGGGAGGGGTGCTGTTGGATAGATCACATGTGTTGTGATTCATTGACAGTCATACCTTCTGCTGTTCAACATAATGATGACCGGTAGATAATTAGTTATTAGTGGTACTGTATTTTAATTTTAGAAAGCGCAAATCCGCTTATGAATTATAATAATTAGTTAGACCGCTAAAGCGCAAACGAAATATTTAGGTCCGCAATTAGCGGATTTGCGCTTTAGCGGTCTTGTGCCCACCACTGCAAACCAGTGTATTGTATCAGAGTCGATCAACATGACGAAGGAAAAAAATGTAAATGCATTGTGTGTGAAAGACACCTACGTGATAGGCAGCAAGGCCTACAGCATCTGGGAGGATTTAAGCTGTTTTACCAGGGTATGGATAGAAAAAGAAACTGAATAGGGACGGAAGAAGAAGGTGAAAATGAGTTTGGAAGGAATGTAGTAGAGGTGAAAAGAGTGTCAAATAAGGAGATGTWGAACTGATGTTGATGTGTTGTCGGTGGTAATGTTTGAATGTGAAGTAGAGGAGAAAGAGAAACTCTGGAAGGATCTAGATGGAAGGATAAAAAAGTATTCACAGCAAAAGAGAGAAGTGATGGGCCCATTTAATGTGAAGGAAAGGAACCAGGACACGTATTAGATTTAGTCAAGGAATTGAATTGACTGTACTCAACACCTATTTCTGTAGAGAGAGAAATATAGAGCAACCTATGAGTGGAGACATGAGTACACAGGTGGACTGCACTGTTTATAGAAAGGGTAACCTGGGGTATATGGTTACAGACAGGGTCACACATAAAATGTTTGGTCTGGTTCTCAGGGGAGAAACTAGGGTTGTTGCTTGGTGCTCACTCATATTTTCCTTCACTCATTGAACACATTTATCTAGAKGGGTATCAGGTCATCTAACGTCCCCCTGTTCTGTTTTATGACTCCTATCAGCTGCAACGTCTCAGGACATCATGTTAAATCAGTCCAACAAGTTTTTATTTTATTCTTTTACTCTGCATACATTTTGTAAACTACCTAAGTGGCCGAGGGGCTGGGTGTATGTCATATAAACATCACAAACTGAACATTTCATGCTTAAATATCTTTAGACTAACATGTCGCTCAGATGGACAGCTCCTGTTTGGTCTTCTGGATCTTCAGCCTTAGTTAAACCAGCTTTCCACACTCCCCAGTCCAACCAGCAAATATCTGTCTTTCACACTTTCGTCTGCTTTGTTGAAGGCAGGGTCCATTTAATCTTTATATCAGGGTCCCGTTCTGGCGCACCTAACAACGATCCATTCACACCAGTGCCGCTGGATTCTTTTTAATTTTTTGATCAGGTCGCACTCTAGAGCCCTGCTAGCTGTTGTTTTGACAGACAATCAGGTACAATCTTAGGTACACAAGGGAGCTTTATGACGTTACATCTGGTGCGCTTTTTCCTTTTTTGTGCGCGCATGCGCACTGCTTATGTGCGCATGCGCATTTCCACCACAGTCCTCAGCACTGGCTCCCCACAGGGCTGTGTGCTGAGTCCCCTCCTGTTTACGCTACTCACATATGCCTGCTCTCCTCTCCATCCTGGCTGTCATATTGTGAAGTTTGCGGATGACACAGCAGTGGTTGGAAACATCACAAACGGTGATGAGTCCAGCTACAGACAGGAGGTGGAAAACCTGGAGGC